GTGAGTCTCATCACAATTTGCTTTGTCGTCTGATCGGTTTGTTGTCCACCGAGGTTTTACACTTGGGGAATTTACATGAGAACAAGGAAACGGTGGTGTCTGAGGCTCACAGTAGGCTCATTTCCATATTCTGATCTTTTATTATTCTACTATGCCTTGGTATACACTGATTTTCATAACAGGGCACCTTTAAGTCTTATATTGCATGGGTTATTTTTGACATTAGCCAAATTTAAGACTTTAAATTTTCCTTTATAGCAAAAATCATTAGAATTTTAAGTAAAAATCACGTTCCATGATGATATTTGCCACATTTCCTACTATAAAGATACCAAAGCTCAATGTTGATTAGTGTTGTGTATGGATAAGAACTTTATTAAAACAACTTTAAAGGGGATTTCCCGAATACTCAGATTGATTTACCCCTTAGAATGCAGGTTTTCAAACAGTAGCCTCTCAATCAAATATTGTCCAACCCTATCTACTTATTCATCAATGGAAAGCTCATGTATTCAACTTCCATAATTCAAAAGCAGACGTCTCTAACAACTCCTGTTATTCCTGACCCTCTCTTTCACACTTTATTTTCTGCATTTGTCAAACGGAGAGCTCAGCGAGATGCAGTAAAGTGAGACAGACGCAGAAACACAAGCGTCTGATGTGGTGTGAAGCAGCAGGAGTTCAGTGTGTTAGAGAAGAGTTGCACTGCAGCTAATGGAAGCGGTGGGCGAAGGTGAACGTTGCGCATTTTGACCTTCCTGGATATTTTCAGCGATTCTATCACAACCAAAGGAAACGAGTCCGGGTCTTCAAATAACACACATCAGTCAAACAGCAGAGCGAGAGTTACTCATGTTACAACACACAGCACTATTATTCTGAATGCTCAGCTTCATGTGACCAGAAATACCTGCTCAAAAACAACTCAATTCAACTCAGTTTAAAGTAGTAGTTTGAACAAGCAGCAACACTCATTACCTGAGTACATGCATCCCTGACGGGTTCACTTAAAGCATTTGATTTCTTGAATTAAACTGCAAATGGGATCGTGCAATGACAAGTATGATATCTCACCGGTAAAAGATTCACTGATTCAAATAATCAGTTCAGAGTGAATCTTCAGTAAGTGATTCGCTGATTCAAATGATCATATCAGAGTAAGTCTCCATTAAAAGATTCACTGATTCAAATGACCAGATCAGAGTGAGTCTGAAGTAAAAGATTCAATGATTCATATGATCAGATCAAAGTAAGTCCCCATTTAAAGATTCACTGATACAAATGATTTGTTCAGAGTGAATATCTAGTAAAATATTCACTGATTCAAATGATCTGTTCAGATTGATTCTCCAGTAAAAGATTCAATGATTCAAATGATGAGATCAGAGTGAGTCTCCGTTAAATGATTCAAATGATCTGTTCAGAGTGAGTCTCCAGTAAAAGATTTATTTATTCAAATGATCTGTTCAGAGTGAGTCTCAAGTAAAAGATTCACTGATTCAAATGATCAGATCAGAGTAAATCTGAAGTAAAAGATTTAATGATTCATATTAATCAGATCAAAGTGAGTCTCCATTAAATGATTCACTAATAAAAATGTTTTTTTTCAGAGTAAATATCTAGCAAAAGATTCACAGATTAAACTAATCTGCTCTGAGTGAGTCTCTAGTTAAAGATTTACTGATTCAAATAATTTGTTCAGATGTTATCTCCAGTAAATGATTCTATGATTCAAATGATCTGCTCAGATTGAGACTTTAGTAAAAGTTTTACTGATTCAAATGATCTGCTCTGAGTGAGTCTCCAGTTAAAGATTTACTGATTCAAAGGATCAGTTCAGAGTGAGTCTACAGTAAAAGATTCACTGATTTAAATGATCTGCTCAGAGTGAGTCTCCAGTAAATGATTCAAACAATTTGTTCAGAGTGAATCTGTAGTAAAAGATTCACTGATTCAAACGATCCAATTAGAGTGACTCTCTTCATTAAAAGATTCACTGATTCAAATGATGAGATCAGAGTGAGTCTCCAGTGAAAGATTTACTGATTCAAATGATGAGATCAGAGTGAGTCTCCAGTAAATGATTCAAATGATCCAATCAGAGTGAGTCTCCAGTAAATGATTCAAATGATCTGCTCAGAGTGAGTCTCCAGTAAAAGATTCACTAATTCAAACGATGAGATCAGAGTGACTCTCCAGTTAAGGATTCAAATGATCTGATCTGAGTAAGTCTCCAGTTAAAGCTTCACTGATTCAAATGATCCAATCAGAGTGAGTCTCCAGTAAATGACTCACTGATTCCAATGTTCTCTTCAGAGTGAGTCTATAGTTTATACTCCTACTGGTCTACCATCTTTTTTAAATAACAAAAGTAGAGAGAATTGACAGGACAGCATGAGGAGCAGAGAGAGGGGAATGATCGGCACACGGAATTAAACTCAGGTCGCTGTGAGCACCAGTGCATGTGTCGACACACTGACCACTACACTACTGGTGCCGACTGGACTACTCTTAATAGAGTATTTGCACTTTTACACCATTGAGGATAACACACAACTGAAAAACAGAGTTGAGCTGTATCAGGTGGAGAAAACAAACTGCTGTCTGGATTGATTTAGGTTGCAGAACAAGCGCATGGAAACAGCTGAAGGCGAGAGCGAGATCAGAACAGTCTGGGATGAAAAACAGCACTTTTCTGGGTGAAAAAGCATTGCGTAATGAAGCAAACAGCACACTTTCTGTCCATCTCCACCAGCAGCTTCAGCCAAACTGGAATTAGTGTCCATGGAGCAAAGCAAAGCAAATAGAAGTGTGTTCTCCCAGCGTGCACTTCTCCAGATGGGGAACAAACACTAAACAGCCTTGATTATTTAGACATGCGCAAAACACCATGAGGGATTTTTTGGGAAATCATGTATTAAACATTCTCGCAAGATGACAGACATCACTGAAATGAGCCTCTCGAATACGTACAGATTATAGATGTGAACCAACTGGAAATGTAGCCTGTTGCAAACCTTCCTAAAAGGCGAGACTTGAGGTTTTCGACAGTACTTCAAATTTAAAGAGATTATTCTCAAAATGTGCTCATTATTTATTCACCTTCAAGAGTTCCAAACCTTTATTGGTTTCTTTATTCCGTTAGTTAAATGATGACGATATTTTTGGGTGAACTACCCCTTTCATCAAACAAAAATGAGTGGAAATACATTGATATTTATTGACATTTTATTATTATGTAATTTCAGATAATGAATATTTTTATTAGGTTTTTTTGTTGTATCTTTTTTTTCAATGTCAATAATACTCTTAAACAAATGAAACTAAATGAAAATTATCTGATTTAAAATGTGTAATTTTTAATATTTTATTTTGGTTAATGTTGGTTTGATTATTTCAAATACACAGTTGGTTTAGGGTTAAGGTTAGGGCTATGGTTAGGCCATAGACACTATCATTAACCTGAGAGAAAAACAATGGAAGTCCATGTAACGTCCTCACTAAGATAGTGAAACAAACCTGTGTGTGTATCTCAGAAAGAATCTAGGTTTACAGGACTAAGCAAACTAATTGGATTGATAGAATTTGATGAGATGTGAGAAGAAAACATTGAAAACAATGTGTGTGTGTGTGTGTGTGTGTGTGTGTGTGTGTGTGTGTGTGTGTGAATGAGTGCGTATGGGTGTTTCCCAGTACAGTGTTGCGGCTAGAAGGGCATTTAATAAACCATAAAAATACTTTTGTAAATAATGTTTAGCATAATATTAAAAAACAAAGTTATATTTAAATACCGGCGTCTAATATTGTTCAACCTTTACAATTAATTTACTTGTTATGGTGTGTGTGTGTACTGGTTTATCTATACTCATGAGGTCTTAACTGTCATCACTTTTAAAGTGAGGTCAAAACGAGCCACTGTTTCACTGCTCCTCGCTAATTAAAAGTGCTTATAAATCGACCAGATGATGTGTTTATTAGTATCTTATGATGTGCAGTTGTTTCTGTGAGGGTTGGTTTAGGGTTTAGGTTAGGGCTAGGGTTAGGCCACTCTCATTAACCTTAATAAAAAACAATAGAAGTCTAAGTAATGTCCTCACTAAGATAGTGAAACAAACCTGTGTGTGTTTATCTTAGAAAGCATCTAGGTTTGCAGGACTAAGCAAACTAATTGGATTGATAGAATTTGATGGGATATGGAAAACATCCACGAACATAACAAAAGGGTGTATTGTTTCAATTTTCAAAGTATTTTAACCAAAATATGTGTGAAAATAAGATTTGTGACCTAAAATCCTTTCATTTGTTGAAACACAGAGAGAGTTGTGGCCAAATTAAGACTCAAAATCAGCCCAGAGTGGATAAAAATGACCCAACAGCACAAAAGGTTACCTACTACATATTAAAATAAGGTAAAAATCCACAAATAGTGTGATTATAATGGAAGTCAATGGGGCAAAAACAGCCCCCAACATAACCAAAGGGGAGTCAATCTGCCCAGTTGTTGAATTGTTTAACATTTTCAAATAATTTCCCCCAAAATATGTGTCAAAATAAGATTCATCACTAAAAATCATCCCATTTGCTGAAACACAGGGAAACCTGTGTCCGAATTAAGACTCAAAATTGTGGATGAAAACATCCCCAATTGCACACAAGGGGTTAAATATTTATGAACTACACATTTAAATAAGCTAAAATCCACAAATATTGTGATTATAATGGAAGTCAATGGGGCAAAAACAGCCCCCAACATAACCAAAGGGGAGTCAATCAGCCCAGTTGTTGAATTGTTTAACATTTTCAAATAATTTTCCCCAAAATATGTGTCAAAATAAGATTCATCACCACATATCATCCCATTTGCTGAAACACAGAGAATGTTTTGGCCTAATTAAGACTCAAAATCAGCCCAGAGTGGATGAAAACCACCCAACAGCACACAAGGGTTAGGGTAAAAGAAGCACGCCCCTGTCTAAAAAAGAAAACAAAAAGCCCCTTACCGTCCTCCGTCTCCTGCCAGACGATGCCCTCCAGGTTGACGCTGGTTCCGGGTTCGCAGGGACCCAAACATTCGGGTTCAGTAGCCAGAGCCACGTCTGAGGTGTTGACGGCTACTGAGCGCGTGCGGACCATAATCTGCTCACAGGAGGAGGAGATTTCACTGTTCCCCACTGGAGCCAGGAGGTGGAGCGGCGGAGGAGCCGGCGTCGACACCGGAGACTCCATCTGTGGAGAGACACACACTCATTACACACTACATCAAACCAGGATTACACTCGCTCTGTTTCCATACAAAGATATCGATTAGACTTAGGCACAAACTGGATAAATATGTGCAAAGACAACACGATCATCACCTACTGATAAACCTGCACTAATATTGAGTGTGAGGCAAGGTGAGTTTATTTCTATAGCACATTTCATACACAGTGGAGATTCAAGGTGCTTTACATAAACAGGAATAAAAGAGACAAGTGTAAAAAAATAAAAAATGATTAAAAACAGATTAAAATGTGTTATTCGGGTTATAAAAGAGTGAAAAAGAAAAGAAAGACAATAGTGTGACGCAGCACAGTGCTCATTCAGTAAAGGCACAGCTAAACAGATGAGTGTTCAGTCATGATTTGAACGTGCATAATGTTGGAGCACATCTGATCATTTCCAAAAGCTGACTCTAGCAGCAGGGGGCGCTGTTAGTAGCTGAAGGCCGATTCACCGTGCCCATATGATTCTAAAAATCTGAGTGATCTGTTGAGGTTTGTATTTAGTGTGCATATCTGTGATGTATTGAGCTCCTAGGCAGTGCTTAATTTGTGAATCGCAAAGTCCCGGAACAGATCAGGGTAACGGATCCGGCATAGTACCCGAGGATGTGGAGGTGTCGCTCACAAAAGTGAAGAGCAGGGTGGGACGTATTGGGGGTTGGATAGCGGAGGGGTGTCGTGGACGTCAGTTAAAAGCCGGGGCGGATGTTGGTTGTCGCAGATAAAAGTGAAGAGGGTTGGGGAGTCGCGGAAGGCGGGTAAGTAAAATGAGGTGCTGGATCAGATTTCAGAGGTGCCGGCGTGTTCTCGCACAAATTAGCCCTGCTCCTAGGCCATTCAGTGATTTATAGACCAGTAATAATACTTTAAACTCTATTCTGAATGTAACTGGCAGCCAGTGTAAAGACCTGAGGACAGGAGTGATGTGCTCTGATTTCCTGGTTCTGGTCAGAATCTTGGCCGCAGCGTTCTGGATGAGCTGCAACTGTCTGACTGTGTGTTTGGGAAGGCCAGTGAGGAGTCCATTACAGTAATCCACCCTGCTGCTGATAAAAGTCTTCACTGGAAACAAAGCATCTGATTCCTGCAGTGTTTCTGAGATGAGAGTGTGCTGATTTACTCACTGCTCTGACATGACTACTGAAACTCAGATCTGACTCCAGAGTCACACCAAGACTCTTGACCTTATTTTGTGTTGTTTGAGCCTTAAAGCTTAGGTACGCATTCACCTTGAGAAGCTTATCTCTGTTCCCAAACGCAATGACTTCAGTTTTCTCTTTGTTTAACTGAGAAAAGTTTTGGCACATCCAGTTAGGGTAGGGCGAGGTCGACCAATTTGGCATCGTACGTTTTTGCTTCCCGTTTCAAAAACTAATGCAAAGCAACGAACTGTGATATATAGAGGAATGAAAACATGGAATGAATTGCCATCAGACATTACATGCTTTGTAACAAGTAAAATGAGGTTTAAAAAAATGGTTTAAGAAATATTTAATAGCACAATATTAAGTGGATTGTTGATGTTATGTATGAATTTGGTATTTTAATGTTGTTATTGGTCTTGTTGTTATGTATTAATGTAATTTTGTGTTATGTTGGATGGACCTCAGGAAGAAAGTCTAATCTCGAGTCTTATCTAACACGCCGGCACCTCTGAAATCTGATCCAGCACATTTTACTGATCCGCCTACTCACCCACCCTCCTCCCCGTCCGCTGTTCACTTTCACTTTATTCCGCGACTCCCTAACCCTCTTCACTTTCGTCTGCGACAACCAACATCCACCCCAAATTTTAACTTGCGTCCACGACACCCCTCCGCTATCCAACGGTCCAACCCCCAATACGTCTCACCCCACTCTTCGTGAGCGACACCTCTACATCCTCGGGTAGTATGCCGGATCCGTTACCCTGATCTGTTCCGGGACTTCGCGATTCAACTAATTGGGGATCATGATAAATAAAATAAATAAAAATAACCACTGGATAAAGCATGTAAAACAAGTAGCGATGCTCCGATCTATCGGCCGATAATCACATTTCACGACTCGATCTGTACTTGATCTCATGAACCAATCACAAGTGTTTGTTTAAGAGTTTACAACCTGGGTTATACATCCACAGCGCTACAACATGCGCAATGTTTCCAAATTGCATGGTCAGTCATTTTTCCGATATCTGTTTGATCTATTATTATTCTGTAAAGCTGCTTCTGACCATTACATGGTGATCAAAATGACAAGGAGGCGGCACTCGGTATCAGCTGAGAAAATCCTGCTCGGGGCATCCCTAAAAACAAGCTAAGAACATGTCAGGGTTTAACTCTAAGGATTTTTTCTACTGGCCCAATCGGACCAGTGGTTCCGATTTTTACTTGCCCTGTCAATGTTTTCACTGGCCCCAGCCAAAAAACCAAACAAAAAAAGTGAATATTAGGGGTGTAACGATACACTCAGCTCACGATTCGATATGTATCACGATATTTAGAATAAAAATTAAAAATTAAACTGAAATGCAAATTTTACCAAGTAAACAATTTTTAATGTATTTATTTTGTTTCAAATTGTTAAACTGAACCTTCTTTAAGAAAATAAATTAAACAGGCCTGTCTCTGGAAAATAAAACAATTAAAAACTTTTATTATTGAAATGACAGAGACAAAATTAAGGAACAATTTAAGATAAGGTGCAAAACCAGCGAAAACAGCTTAAGGCTTTGCTTGGTCACTTGCGTTTTTTGTGTGTGCAAAAAAAAAAAATCCACATTTCCAGGTATTTAATTCATATTTAATTAAATTCATTTAGAGATATCTCTAATTACAATTGTGACTAGTCAAAACTCAGTTAGAGATATCTGCAAATATTTTTCAATGGAAGTCAATGGAGGAATATGACTAGTCATAATATATTTGCAGATATCTCCAATCTGATTTCGTACTAGTACAATTGTAATTGCAGATATCTCTAATTGTCATTCTGACAGGTCGAATTATAATTATGACTAGGATATGGATAGTCAGAACAAAGGTTTAAATGCTAAAACGGCTTGCCATACGCGCGCGTCTATCAGTCCGCCCTCTGTAGTAACAGCTCACGGTCAGCTCACGTCATGTGTGATTTTGCGGCGGGAACATTATATGAAGCCAGAATGATATTTTAGGGTGAATTGTACCTTATAAATACAGGATGTGACTCTTTCAACACCATTAGGAGGTTCCCTGTCGCTGTGCAAAGTGTGTAAATCACTGTGAAGACTTTAAAACTTAAGATGTTTGACCCAGTATGCGTGACAAAAAGCGGTTGAGTCTAAAGCAATGACTGTACAACCCAAATGTTGTCAGACGTCTGATTTTGAGAGGATGGGCCATCCTCTATTTCAGCTCCACTCATCTTGGTCTGCTAGCATTACTGCTGCTGCAATCTGAACTCACGTGCGACAGCAGGTGGAACGTAGCTCACGTGCAAACAGCTCAACTAATAAGAGAAAACGGACGTCATATCGTAATCAAATCGTACAACGATAAATCGTTACACCCCTAGTGAATAGCTATTTCTTAGCCACAAATAAAATAAATGTGTCAATTTTTGTAAATCTAGAATTTAAATATTTGAAAGATGTTAATTAATGTATAATGAGCAAAATTCTAAGTGTTTTGAAACAAAAGATGGCTGACCTGCCAAACTGACGGCAAACTGAACAAAACATCCCTTCATTTATTTTTGGTCGTGGTGTAATCTCGTCAACGTCTGCTTCCAAGACGTTAGAAACAAATGTTTTCCTTTAGCATCATCATTTGATGTTGTCGCCATGTTGCTGTCTTTTCGCTGTACTGGTTGATACGGAAAAAATAACGTGCTCACAAGATTTAATCAGACAAGGGGAACCGAGAAGGTAGCGTTTGAAGGCTTGAAAACACAAACTGTTTCTCGATTCTAAGACTGTATTTGCACGAAATTGACAAATAGTCACAGGTAAATTGAACTTTAGTGACACGGCAGCAGTGGCCAGATCGGGCCAGTAACAATCCTGTCTACTGTCCCAAGCATCTCACACGCTGGCCCCGGGCCATCGGGCAGTGCTTATTGCTGAGCCCTGCATGTTCATTCATTCATTTTCTTTTCGGCTTAGTCCCTTTATTAATCTGGGGTCACCACAGCGGAATGAACCGCCAACTTATTCAGCATATGTTTTACGCAGCAGATGCCCTTCCAGCTGCAGCCCATCACTGGGTAACATCCATATACACTCATTCACACACACTACAGACAATTTAGACTGCCCAATTCACCTGTCCCGCATGTGTTTGGACTGTGGGGGAAACCGAAGCACCCAGAGGAAACCCACGCGAACGCAGGGAGAACATACAAACTCCACACAGAAACGCCAACTGACCTAGCTGAGGCTCAAACCAGCGACCTTCTTGCTGTGAGGCGACAGCACTACCTACTGCGCCACTGCGTCACCCCTAAGAACATGTTAGCAATGCTTCAAACATCCCATCATATTTGAAACATTAAAAATAGAACATGCATGCAGTGTGATCGAATATGCTGGCGATACTAGCACATAGCAACAGCACACGGCTAACAATACCATTGCAGAACACATTAGCATTACTATCACCTGTTCGCCATCTGCTCCGCATGACCTTGACGTCTTCAATTTCAAGCTTTTTAAGGCCGTTACTTCACACTGCTGCAAACACAACACCTTCAAAGTTCACGTTTCTTAATCTGCTTCTGTCATCAGCCCTCGTCCTCTTATCCGGCTGATCTCGTGACTCATGGCTCGTTCACCAAAGGCGAGCAGAGAAGGGCTGTAATTGATGTCTGAAACACCAAGGTCATGAGTGCGATCTCCAGCGAACGCATGAACTACAACGGCTAAATGCAAGCATTAGGGCTGCATGATGGATGGTTTTAGCGTTATATGGCAGTGTGTGAATCCGCAATAGACCCATGGCA